TGACACCTTCACACAGATATACATGCAGGCAAAATACCAATGCACAGCCAGGTGGTGGTGCTCACCTTTAACCCCAGCACTGGGGAGGCAGAGGCAGGAGGATCTATGTGAGTTTGAGGCCAGCCTGGTCTATAGAGCTAGTTCCAGAACAGTTTGGGCTACACAGAGAAAATGTGTCTCAGAAAACCAAAAAGTAAGCAAACAAACAAAAAACTACCAGTGCATAATACACACACACACACACACACACACACACAGAGAGAGAGAGAGAGAGAGAGAGAGAGAGAGAGAGAGAGAGACAGAGAGAGAGAGTCACATAGAACCATTCCAGGAGGCAATTGAGCCAGGCAGGGCAAGAGAACTTTTTTTTTGGGGGGGGGAGAATGTATATTTGTGTTATGGTGGTAGTCGCATGCTAGATAGAATTTTCAGCTGGGTATGGTGGCTCATGACAAAACCCAGCATTCAGGAGGCAGAGGGCAAGAGCATCTCTGTGAGTTCAAGGCTAGCCTTGTCTACATAATAAGTTCTAGGCCAACCAGGGTTGTACAGTGAGATCCTGTCTCAAAATAATAGAAAGAGCAAAGAGATGGCTCAGAAGTTAAAGACATTTGCAGTTCATGTGCCAGACTTGGTGGGGCATACCTTTAATACCATCACTCAGGAGGCAGAGGCAGGTGGATCTCTGAGTCTGAGGCCAGCCTGGTCTACAGAGTGAGTTCCAGGACAGTCAGGGCTGTTACACAGAGAAACCCCGTTTTGAAAAAACAAATAAACAGAGCAACAACAATAAAGCCCCCATTGTGGTTCTTGTAGAGGAGCAGGGTTTGGTTCCCAGCACTCAGATGCCGGCTTACAGATGTAACTCTAGGGGTTCAGTGGCCCTCTGTGACTCTGCATGTAGGTGGACCACAAGAAAGGGAAAGCAGTCACACGCATAAATAAAAATGATCTTTAAATACAATTCAAAACTTCATTGAAATGAATGCTCGCAACTGTTTCATCTGTTTGTAAAGCTTTTTGTTTTGTTTTGGGGAGTTTTTGTCTGTTTGAGACAGGTTTTCACTATGTAGCCTGGTTGTCCTGGGATTCAGTCACAGAGATCCACCTGCCTTTGCCTCCTAAGTGCTGGAATTAAAGGTATACCACCATCTCCCAGCTTTGTGTGTTTCTTTTTTTGAAAAAGGGTTTCTCTGTGCAACAGTCCTGGCTGTCCTGGAATTCCCTCTGTAGGCCAGGCTGGCCTCCACCTCACAGAGATCCGCCTACCTCTGCCTCGCAGTGAATCGGTGCTGGGATTAAAGAATTGCACCACTACTGCCGGGCCTGAAAAGTTTTTGTATTTTTAAGCACACAAGTACAGATAAGAATATATTGAACGGTGAAAAGATAGATGCTGGATAAACGGTGAGTGAATGTGTAGTTGAATGTCTTGGGTGACTATCCACTGCCATCTTGGCTAAGAATACCTTTCTCTCTCTCTCTCTCTCTCTCTCTCTCTCTCTCTCTCTCTCTCTCTCTCTCTCTCTCTCTCTGAATTATTCTCTCCCTTCTCCAATCCCTTAGCGTCAGGGAAAGATGGCCTTGCGCACGTGCACACAGCTAGCCTTTTCCAGCTCCTCTGAAGCTTCTTCCCAGGACTTCCTGGGGCCTAGTCCCTTCCAGCTGCCACATGCCACTTTTGGTGCCAAGGTCACCTGTGCGATTCCCAACTACAGACCCACTTTGCCAGCGGTGCAACAGCCCGAACCCTGGCCTATCCTGCCACCTGCTGGCCATTGACAGAACTTTCTCTCTTACACAGCGGGAAGACCAAACCGTGGAAGATTGCACTGGGGCTTACATTTTTATCCTTTTGAATCACCATGTTCACTGTGCAAGGTGGGCTTCGAAACTTCCTGAAGCAAGGAGACGTGAAGAAATGTGTCATTCATACAATAAGCTTCGGACCTGAGATTCCAATCTAGGGCTGCCCCCCCATGTGAATGTATGTGCTTGGATTGAGTAAGGGGAAAAAAAGGGAAGGGGGTCCTTTTTCACCTCCTCAAAGGAGAGCAAAGGCCTCACAGCACCTTCCCAAAGTCGTCTTTCAGAGGAGGAGGGTGTGAGGGCTCTTGCATGGCAGGGACTGGATCAAGAAGAGAAAGTAAATATCAGAAAGAACATTGCCTCCCAACAGTGTGCTCAGACCAGAGACACACCACTAAACAACCTTGTCAGTTCGAGCGGGCAGGAATTAAGTCAAATGAGGACTTGAAATTGTTCTTTGGACCTAACTGCCTGTGCTTCAAACTCAAGAATAATAACCCAGGAGTGACATATTATTTTTACATCTCATTTGCATATGATTAATTCCAAGCTGGAGTGAATGGAAGTCACGCTGGCTTCTCAACCCTCCTACCGGCTTGTCCAGTCCCCCCTCCTCTAACTCTGGGCTCTGCCACCCGCACCATCCTTTACCCACACCTTGCCCCTGTCCTTCCCTCCCCAGTTCCCTGTTCCCTTCCTCTCTGTCACCCACGCAGCAGCCTCCTCCGCCACCTGGCCGCCCACCGGAAAAACTTTTCCCCAAGTTCCTGAGAAGTTGCGTAGGATCCAGGAGAGAAAAATCAAAGTAATAAAACCTCATTTAATTCCTAACGGAGGGCAGAGCTGTGAGCTGCAATTATCTTAATGCGGAGCTATTTTTACTCTCTCTCCATCTCTGTCTCCTGCCTTTCTGTCGTGAGGCTTTCTCCTCTCCCCTTGCCTTTGTCTCTCACATGGGTCCTCTCTTCCTTTTACTCTCTCCACGACCCCCTCCCTCCTAGCTATGTGTCCCTCCCCTTCTGCCTGTCCTGTACATATATCTTCCTACCTTTACATGGCTCCAGGGTTGAGGAGCCAGAGACATCACACCCAGACAGAGCTGGACAAAGAGGTCAAGACCACCGGCTGTTCCCAAGGGCATATCTTCTGGGATTAATTTGTGCTCTTGTCTCCCTACCCAGGCACCACGGCGGGGGGGGGGGGGGGGGGTGGGTCCTTCATAACTGTTTAGGTCAAACCAGAAGTTTTCAGTGGGCACTGAGGTATAGTGTGTGTGTGTGTGTGTGTGTGTCTTGAGAGCACAGCCTCATCCCTGCCCTTGGTCCCCTTTCTCCACCATATACCCTTCCTTTGGAGCCTAAAGGCTGCTCAGGTTGCTGCTGTCTGGCCATGTACCTCTTTATCCTCCCAACACACCGATAAATGGCTTTTGTCATTCCCCACCACACCCCATGTGGAAGAGGGGTCCTGGGCCAAGCTAGGGACTGGCAAAGATGCCCATGTGCCTGACCAGCAATTTATCATGGGCTGTTTCCCAGAAAATATATGTCAACAAGCTGTAGCCAGGCTTGGGCTGGAGGATGTGGGGCCTAGTCACCAAGACATCCTATTCCCAAGAGCAGAGCTTGGCCCCTGGCACCTTCTCTGTCTCTCATCCCCCAGAGGGCACTGAGTCTGGGGCAGACAATGTGCCCCTGACCTCATTTCCCTAAGATTCCATCCACCTCTCAATCCACCCAGAGCCACAGTGCTGGGCTGAGAGTGGAAAAGTTGCTGGTGGAGTTAGGGGTGTGGTGAGGAGGGCTCCTGCTGTTCCTGGCCTCAGAGCCACCAGGAGAGAGGACAGCCAACACAAACAGAACCCCAGGAGGGCACACACAGGCACAGGTCCACACACGCCCCTTCTGGGCGCTACAGAGAGGCATTCTGTCCTTCTTGCCAGCCCTGCAGAGGGTAGTGCCAGCTCCTGCAGAGACTCAAGGGCTTGGGCAGATAAACAGGGGCACTTAACCCACAAAGCCCCTCTCCTACAACACACACACACACACACACACACACACCTGTAGAAGAGGCTGACACTGACACCTCAGAATGATCACACACACACCTCTCTCCCCCAGCTCTGTTCCCCAACGCACCAAGCCCACACACTTGATGGCACGTGTACTGCGAAGACAGCCCCCCAACCTTGCCCCTGGTTGATTCTGTCCCCTCCCTCAGAAGATGGAGAGAAAAGGCAGGAGACACGTGAATGCTGGGTATGTTGTGGCAAGGACTCATCCCCCCCCTCTCCCCTGGGGAATTTTCTCTCACACTCTCAGCCTCAAGCCCCTCTCCTGCACAGGCCCCCCGCAAGCTGGCACCCGCCTGCCCATCACCTTGACAGCCTTTGACATCCTCCTCCACACCCACACCCTCCCCCGTGCACACGCTGTCCTCCCACACGCTGCCACTCACACCCGCATCTTTGACACTCTGACACACTTAGACTCACACACTCACACCATGCCGACCCCCACCCTCCCCAGCTCCCGCTCTCTAGGCCTCTGGCACTCACTTGCACACCCTCCCTACCACGATGACTGACAGGTGGACTCCCACGCACACCTCTCTCACACTCGCTTTCTAGGACACCCCCATTCACAGCGTGACATGCTGGCACTCTCTTCTCGACCTCACAGGCCTCCCTTGAAACTCCATGTCCCGCCCCCCCCCCCACCAATTGGTTAAAGCCAGAATCACGGCTCCAGCCACCCTGCCCCTCCCCTTAGCCTCGCGGCTGGACTCCATCAATAATGCAACGCCGAGTTCTGGGGAGACGGCAGGGGGCCCCCAGGCCGCTCCCCAGCCCCGGCTCGCACTCCGCACCCTCCTCCCATCCCCCGGAGAACACGCTTCTCGATGCTCATTGGTCGCTTTCCCCTAAGCCCTCCCTCCCAGCGCCTGGGCGCCAGTCCCTGGCGGAGGGGACGGTCTGGGACCCCAGGGTAGGGACCTGTAGGGTGCAGCCAGCAGAGGCAGAGGAACGGAAAAGAAGAAAGGCAGAGGAAGGGTAGACAGAAGCCTCGAGGGCAGTCCACCGAGACTCTCAGAGAGCGCAGGCCGGCAGCCGGAGCCCCGCGCCCCAGCCAGGTAGCGCGCAGCCAAGGCGAGGGGACCTCGAGCCCGGGGAAGGGGACGCCGAGCCGGGCGCTTTAGGCTCGTCCCGCGGTCCTGCCCTCCCGGTCCTAGAGCGCTCCCTTCGCGGGTCGTGGGATTTTCCTAGGTACGGGGACAGCGCTCCTCCTCCGCGCAGCACGCGCCACCCATAGCTCCGGACAGTGGAGCAGATATCAGCCCAACACCCCAGGCGCGCGCAGCCCGCCATGGACCCCAAGGACCGCAAGAAGATCCAATTCTCTGTTCCCGCGCCCCCCAGTCAGCTCGACCCCCGCCAGGTGGAGATGGTAAGAGGGCTACGCCCCATCCGCGTAGCGCCCTCAGCACGCATCCCCCGCGCAGCCCAGCTGTTCTCCTGCTGGACCCTGCCTGGGTTGCAGCCGCGCACCCCGCAGGCGGGAAGTTCGCTGGTGACTCCTAGCAACAGCCCCCCCACCCCCGACCTCCGAGCCGATCTTGGGCGGGAGAATTCTGGCAGTGGGCTTCCGGAGACAGTGCGCACGCGGAACTGCCCTTTTGGCCCTTACATAGCCCCGCTAGGCTAGTCTTTTTCCCACGAGGACCAAGTCACCATGCTGGCACCCCCAGGGATGCACACAGCTCAGACGTCCGAGGCTGTCATTTCAACTTCTTGGTCTAGATGACCACACTTTCGCCCTATAGGCCTGGTCTGGAGTCCCCAGAACCTTGTTCTGATTACTTTATGCTGTCAGGACCTAGAGCCACAACCCCAGGGAGCTGAACGGCCATGGCTTCTTTGGAGGTTGGAGGTCTGTACTCCACGACCTAGCAAGGACACTTGTTGCTGAGATGCTGCTGGCTCTGAAGAGGGCATTGAGAATTGGGCAAACCCGTTTTTGGAGTATTTGGTCGGGGTGGGCTGAAGCTTGGACCTAAGTAGCTTTTGGCAGCAACAACTGCTTCAACTTCAATTACCTAGTCCTTCCTGCATTTCCCTGGAGCTCAAAGGGGACCTAATTAACTGACAGTTGGTCTGATTGCCAAGCTCAGGGTGGGCAAGGAGAACAATTTGACATTTTTTTTTCCATGAGAACTGGGTGAATAATCCCACAGCTTGAAAAAGACTGTGCCAGGGGCCCAGGCTCCAACCTCCAGAGACCCAGCAGATTGCTGGGGGTCTGGGGCTCAGGTAAGGATGCAGGTGACTGCAGTACAGGGCTCAGACTCCTACAGCTGGAGCCTTTAAACTGACCTGTGGAGGATAGAGCCATAGGTACCTCCTTTAGGGTGCTTAAGGTGGAGGCTTCTAGAGAAGGTTCTGTGGTAGCTGTGGTTTAGGACCACCTGGACTAGCAGTCAGTGGGTGATTTTTCTGGTCTTTTGAACCCAGCATGCTGTGTGACCTTGAACATGTTGCTGAATGACTCCATACCTGGGACTTTTCGTCCCTGTAAAATACAGGGAGTGAATGAGTTGAGTGAACTCTAGCTGCCTTTGATCCATAGGCTCCCCGAGGTCTCCAAAGCCTCACTTCCAGCTGGCTCAGGGTGATGGTATGGAAACCTATATGCGTTTCTCCTGTCCTCCCTTCCTCCATCTCCCTAGATCCGGCGCCGGAGACCAACCCCTGCTATGCTGTTCCGGCTCTCAGAGCATCCTTCTCCAGGTAGGGTCGATTCCCTGCTCTCTACCTCAGTGCTGGTGCCTCTCTGGGGGCCCCATGAAGGGGGACAGGCTGGAGACTAGAGACCTGGAAGGCTAACTCTGCTGGCTTGGTTTAGTATCTTGGCACCTGTTGGCCCCAGGAGGGAAGGGCACACTTCTGCTTTCCCAAAGACTGAGGCTTTGGGAAAAGTGACCTGATTCTTTCTCTCTTCCTCCTCTGTCGTGGTTGGTGTATGCCTGGTGACCTCTCAGAGGAGGAGGCGTCCCCACACCAGGTGAGTTTCCTGGGGCAGGTGGAAGGACACTTAGCTGGACCCTCTGGGGTAGAGTGATGCCTGCTGAGCCAACCCAAAACCCAGGCCACCACAGGACACATTATATTAATGGCATTTCCCTGGAAAGAGCCTGTTCTGAGTGTCACCCTCTCTCTGAGTGGTGCTGCGTCCATGACAGAAGGTTCCTCTGCTAATGGGGACAGGGCTTGGCCTAGGTGACCCATGCTCGATCGGCTGTCAAGAGTTGTGCCACTGGAAAGGGTCCCTGTGCCTCAGGAACCTATTTCATCTTCCTCTTCCCTGTAGAGAACCTCTGGAGAGGGCCACCACCCGAAGTCGAAGAGACCCAATCCCTGTGCCTACACTCCCCCGTCACTGAAAGGTACTAACCCCAGCCCTCCATTTGTCTTGTGGTCTCCTGGAGCCTTGCAGCTAGGCTGATATGGGGGAGGAAGAGGAAATGTAAGCTGGTGTCCTGGTCACTGGGTCACTGGGAAGGACTGCCACCAGATCACTGCCTGGCTTGGGAGACTTATTCTTTCTTAGGCTCCCAGAGGCAGAGAGAGGACAGCAGTTGTCTTAACAGTAGGTTGAAGGGGGCCAAGGGGAGGACTGGCCAGCCCCACAGGGTGACAAGCGTTGGAGTGAGAGATGCTGGAGGTGTATCTGCTGGGCCATGCTCACCCCCTGCTTCCCCTCCAGCTACACTCCCAAGTGCAGGTCTGCACCCTGGACATCCCCTTGACTGCTTTTCTGCCTCCATCAAAGGGTATCATTGCTGCCATATTTGCCAGGTCTCACTGGTGGGCACTGGGAAAAATAAGATGAGGAAGATTTGGGGGCTCACGGAGTAGCTCGGTGGCAGAGTACTTGATTGACATGCACAGAGCCCTGGGTTATAACCCAAATACTGATTTGAAACTAAACAAAACAACAACAACAAAACCGGCAGTGTGGTGGCACAGAGGTCTGTAACCTCAGCATTTTGGAGACAGAGAGGCAGACAGGTTTCTGTGAGTTCAAGGCAAACCTGGTTTATAGAGAGAGTATCAGGCCAGCTAGAGTTGCACAGTAAGACCCTGTCTCAGAAAATTAAAATAGCCGGACAATGGTGGCACATGCCTTTAATCCCAGCATTTGGGAGGTAGAAGCTGGTGGACCTCTGTGAGTTCAAGGCCACCCTGATCTACAGAGTGAGTTCTAGGACAGCCAAGGCTACACAGAGCAAACTTGTGTCAAAAAACCATAAATAAATAAATAAATAAATGAGCACACAAAAAAAAAAAAAAAAAAAAAAAAAAAAAAAAAAACCCACCTCCCAGCATGCTTGGTGGCTCATATTTGTCATCCTTGCACTTAGGAGGCAGAGGCAGGAAAATTGCTATGGATGAGGTCACCCTGGGCCGCACAGGCAAGACCATGTCTCATAAAGAAATGAAAAATGAATGATTTCTTCCCTGGGCCCCAGATCCGTGCTCTAAGGGTCAGGGAGGGTTTGCTGAAGGGACAAGGGTGAGACTCATGGAATCAATAGACCAGAAAAGACAGGCAGAAGAAAGAGGTGTGCAAAGGGCTGCGAGGTGTGAATTGGGATTTTTCGGGACAGCTGGAGACTTGGTTTCCAGCCAGGGAGCTGTGGGAGATGCACCTGAAAGAGGAGCAGGTGCAAATGAGTGTGCCAAGGGCCTCTTTCTAACTAGGTGACAGTGACTGTCACCCCCCCCCCCAGGAAGCTTTCCTGCCTGGCCTGGCCCTTCTCTCTCCTCAGAGGGGGTAGATGGGTTTAATATGGCTTCCTAGAACCAGCCAAGGTCAACAGGTGTACCTGACTGCCCGCCTGCCTGCAGACTGGGGACAGAGGAGAGAGGCCGGAGGCCAGGAGAATAGTACAGGTGTGCTGCTTCTCCTGGGACAGGAAAATGGAGGGCGGAAGCTGCTGCTAGAGGCAGTGGGAAAGGACTTCCTGTAGGGACTTGTAGAAGGACTTAGAGCAGCCATGAAGACAAGTGGCACATTTCCAAGACAGGGCACAACAAGAGCCTGGCCTTGAGACTGGGGAGGAGAGTGCCCGGGATTCGATCACCTACATACATGCCTGTAAGCCTGCCTGCCGCTCAGGAGGTAGAGCTTGGAGGACCACAAGTTCAAGGCTATGCTCAGTGAGTTTGAGGCTAACTTAGGATACAGCAAGAGGCTCTGTCTCCACTCTAGGCTGGGTGGATGTGAGGAGGAAACACCCCCCCTCCCTGTGGCTTGTGAGGAGGTGCTGGGGATGGAAGCCAAGGTCTCACACACTAATGCCGAGCCCCAGACCCCCGTTCAGGGCTCCTTGGTTTTGGCTAGGTACTTTGGGAGTGTGCTGAGGTAGGGGTTTGGGGCCATGAAATTTCTTTCTTTTTCTCTTGTTCTTTTTGGTTTTTCAAGACAGTGTTTCTTTGTGTAACCGCCCTGGCTGTCCTGGTACTCAACTTGAACTCACAGAGATCCACCTGCCTTTGCCTCCCGAGTGCTGGGATTAAAGGTATGTCCCATCACTAACCCGTGGCTGGGAAGTTTCTTGTGTACCAAAAGATGACCAAAGAGGTACCCGCCCCTGCTTCTGGGAGACAGGGCTGTATAAAGGAATCAGGAGAGGGCTGTACTGGGGTTCTACAGTCTTGAAAAGGAAGACTTGGGGTGGGGTGGGGTTAGGTTTCCAGACATGGAGAGGTAAGAGAAGGAGACAGTGTGGTAAGGAAAGCATAGACTCTAGAAGGCCAGGTGAGGCATGAGAGACTGAGGAAGGCAAACAGGAGCTCAAGGACATCTGCGAGGGTGCTGCAAACACCTAGCATCAGCTCTCCCCTGACTACCCGCCTGCCACCTCCTCCCCCCAGCCCAGAGGCCGTTCTGCACCAAGGTGGTTCTGTTTGGCCAGCTAAGCCCTTTCTGGGCAAGGGCAAGTGTCTGGCAGAGTTTGGGTTTTGTAGGGCAGGATTCAAGAGTCCTCCTTGAAGGGTGAATAGCACTAAGCCTCAGGGGAACAGGGGGGAGGGGGTTTAAAGGGTGTTCCTAGGTCAGGGCTCTCTCAGTTGGATCAAGGTGAAACTTTGCTGGTTCCCCAAGGCTGGGCAGGGCAATTTATTGCGATTTTATTGCCTGAGTAGCTTGTCCACAGCCATTGGGAAGAGGTAGATTTGGAGCTGGGGGCAGGGCGGGGCATTGGGCACACACAATGAGCCCTCTGTGCCTGTCCCTGAGTTGGCAGGAGTACCGGGCCCTGCTCCTGCACCAGAGGTTTCCAGCCTACCCCCTGGGCTGCTAAGGGGAGGGACCTCTGTTGGATTAAGAAGGCAAGGAGCATTGACCTCTCCAAAGAGTCTAGGCTGGGGCTGCGAACTTAGTGTCTCAACTACTCTAAAACCCAGGTAGCCCCTGGTCCCTTGCTGACCCTGCTCTAGCCTTTTGTTTTGTTTTGTATGAGGGGGGTTGTTTATGTAGCCCAGGCTAGATTAGACCTCACTATGTAGCTGAGGATACATTTGAACTTCTGATCCTCCTGCCTCTTCCTTATGGGGCTCTACCAGGCAGTCTACCAACTGATCTCCACCCCCAGTCCCTTCATCCCAGTCTTAACCTAACAATGTTTCTTCAAGCCTTGCCATTCCCCAGAACCCCCAGCTCATCCCTTTCTTCCCCCCCCCCCACACTTTCCATCTTTGGGAAGCCACCCACACTGTTCCTTCCCTAGGTTGTATCTGAGCTGGTCTTCGTGGTGGTGGTGGTGGGGGGGTGTTGCTGCTTTCTGGGTCACCGCAGGGGGAGCTGGGAGATTAGGGATATGGGTCAAGACAGTGAGGGCTGCATCTGAATGGTCTGTTTGCCCAGCAAGGGCTTTACTGGCCACTCAGGGCTGTGGCTTCAGGCTCAGGATCAGTCCTGCATTGGAAGCCTGGGGGAGAGGTGCAGTTTGGTATCGAATGTTGGGCAGTATTGGGCAGGGGAACACAGCAAAGTGGATCTTCCAGTGACAGGGAAAATGCCTCTGGCCCATAGGTGTGATACCAGGGGTTAGCACTGGTAGACAGTCTCCAGTGCTGGCCACCTGGCTATAAAACTCCCTGGTCAGAGAATGTTAAGCTGTTGCTGTGCCGGCCTGGTCTTGCCCAGCCAGGAGCCCTGTGGTGCAGGGGAATTTTCTGGCGCCAGTCTTGGGCAGGGTGGGGGTGGGGGCTGTATCTTGGAACAGTTTTAAGAGCCAGTAAGATCCCATGTACCCCCTGTTGCTCCCATCTTGCTCGAATGGTCTCTCCCACAGTGGGGTGAACTGGGGCCCTTTACCCTTGAACGTGTTCCCCTTGGGCATCGCTTCTACCTCAGTTGTGTGCGTGGGCTGCTCCTGCAGCTTGGCTGACCCTGGCCTCTCTGGGTCCCCTCTGCCAGCTGTGCAGCGCATTGCAGAGTCCCACCTGCAGACCATCAGCAACTTGGGCGAGAACCAGGCGTCAGAAGAGGAGGATGAGTTAGGGGAACTTCGGGAGCTGGGGTACCCAAGAGAGGATGATGAAGAAGATGAGGATGAGGATGAAGAGGAGGACGAAGAGGAAGACAGCCAGGCGGAAGTCCTGAAAGGCAGCAGGGGAACTGGTAAGCTGAAGGGGCTGCAGCCGGTCTGTGGTTTCTGTTGCCCTGGGTCAGGCATGGCTCTTCCAGAAATATCCTTCGATGTCCTTCTAGGGCCACTTTTGGAGGCCTGGCATCATCTAGCCTTGGTTAAACCTTCACCTGATTAGGTTTTCCCCACTGTTCATCTCTTAGAAATTAAGGCTCGGTACAGGACACTTGAAGCTAGACTGCAAAAAAGAACTTCCTATCCATGGTAGCGAATCGTTAAGAAGGTTCAGGGATGAAGAGAGTCCAGCATTCCCTTTCCTGCACTTCTGAATCCCATGTTGTGCTTTGGAGGCTGGCTGATTTGCTCCCTTTTTGAGATGGTCTTTTTCCTTCCTAGGATGGGGTGGGAGAGTGCCCTCTAGTGTCCAGATGTTGAATCAAGTATTTAAGAACCAATCTAGTCCACACCCCTACTCTAGAGATAAGGCCCCAGTCTCTACAAAGAAGGCTGCAGAGCCAGAAAACCCACAGAAGATACAGGCATGCAGATAAATTGGGCAGAAAGACCTCATCCCTCCTATGGTTGCAGAAAGACCTCATCCCTCCTATGGTTGTAGCGTCCACGCCTGGCCACAGAAGGCTATGCTGCATCTCGCCTGGGGCAAACATTAAACTTTTCAGACACCCTCCTCCCTTTTTTTGTTTTTAATTTATTTATTTTTATTTTATGTGCATTGGTGTTTTGTCATGGGTGTTAGGTCCCCTAGACTGAAGTTACAGACAGTTGTGAACTGTCTTGTGGGTGCTGGGAATTGAACCAGGGTCCTTTGGAAGAATAGTCAGTGCTCTTAAGCATTGGGCCATCTCTCCAGCCTGTTTGTTTGTTTTATTTTTTTAAAGATTTATTTATTTATTATGTATATACTGGTCTGCCTGCATGTCAGAAGCGGGCACCAAATCTCATTACAGATGGTTGGGAGCCACCATGTGGTTGTTGGGAATTGAACTCAGGGCCTCTGGAAGAGCAGTAATGCTTTTAATCTCTGAGTCATCTCTCCAGCCGCCCGCCCCCTTTTTTGTTGTTGTTTTGTTTTTGTTTTTGTTTTTTGAGACAGGGTTTTTTTGTGTAGCTCTGGCTGTCCTGGAACTCACCCTGTAGACCAAGCTGGCCTCGAACTCACAGAGATCTGCCTGCCTCTGCCTCCCAAGTGCTGGGATTAAAGGTGTGCACCACCACCAGTGCTTGGCTTGAACCCATTTTTTTTTTTTTTTTTAATGGGAATGACAAGCAGTCTCTGACTTAAAGTGGTCGGCACTTGGGCCCAGACAAGATGATTTGATGATTTGAGTTTCCTCTCTGCATCTCTGGCTGTGAGGGTGTGAATGGACTGCAAGGGCTGAGGGAGCCTCCCTATGAGACCCTCCCAGAACAGGTGGAAAATAGATGAGAGATGCTCCCTCAGGAAGGGGAAGAAGACCCTGGGTCACATGACTGGATCACCAAGGAGCAACATCAACTTCCAGCACTGGTTGGCTTTTCTTTGTTTGTTTGGTCTGTTTGTTTTCGGTAGGGTTTTGCTCTAAAATCAAGGTTGGCCTGAATCTTAACTATATATCTCAGCCTGACCTTGAACTCAAAGTAATCCTCCTGCCTCAGCCTGACTTTGGTCATTACTGGCATAAGCCTCTGCACCCAGCTTCCCAGTAGGTATAATCTAGTCTAAGGTAATCTACACCTACCTTCTTACATAATATTTCCCTCAGAAAAGTACCCATGAGCTAAGTCACATGGCCAGTCATAGGGAGACTAGTCCCATCCAGTGTCCCACCCATTGTGCGTGGAAGCTTGGCCTCAAGCCATCAGAAATCGCTCGTGCTGCAGAGCAGCAGATGGACAAACAGCCTGTGTTTGTATGCTCTCTTTTCCAGTGGGGCAGAAGCTAACTTGTGGCAAGGGTCTGGAGGGGCCCTGGGAGCGCCCGCCTCCTCTGGATGAGCCCCAGAAAGATGGGAACTCTGAGGACCAAGCGGAAGACAGAGCAGCACTAAGTGGTGAGCTTTGTAGTGTGGGGTAGGGAGGTGGATGGAAACCTCGCTGACCAAGCCAGGCCTTGAGCCTTCTCTACTTGTCTTTCAGATCCGGGGGAGGAGCCTCAGCGCCCTACCCCTCCTGAGCCTGGCACATAAGCTCTGGGTCGCCATCTCCAGGAGGAAACCCACTCTGTCCCCACCCTACTTTGTACCCTTTCTTTCACCCGCTAGGGCTGCAGCTTCTGGCTTCTTGAAGACTAAGGCTGATCTATGTTTGCTTTGGCTGAAGCCCAGAGTCCCGATGCCTCTCCCTGCCAGTCCTTCTTCTACTTACCCGGTGGGAGGGGGGAGGTGAGAGAGAGCCCACACTGGAAAACTCAGAAGGCCAGAAACAAACATTCGCCCTTCACAATTCTCCTCTCCAGATTCACTCCCCTGGGTGCAGGAGACCCACAGGGCAGGACCCTAAGATCTGGGGAAAGGAGTACCGAGAGCCTGCCAAGTGCCCTGAAGTCTCCTCCATCCCTTCGTTCTATGGGGGGCTTTGAGTTCCCAACTCCTCACAGACTTCTACCGGGGTCCATGTCTCGGGAGTTTGTTTCCACAGCCTCAGCATTTTGGATGTCTTCCCCTGTTGTCCCATTCCTGCTGGGTGCCTGCAAGTCGGACTGGCAGACGCTGCTTGTGTTTCATTTGTGCTTTGGTGCCAGGAAACCCACTTAGTATATGTCCTTAGAGGGGCCACACCGTGGGGGCAGCTTGGTTCTCTTTTTCCTCCAGCTGCTTGGCTCTCTTCCCTCTTCCCTGACTCCAGGCCTGAACTCCTCCTATGCTGTAATAAACCTTTGTAAATAATTGTCCTGAGACTCCTCTTTCAGGGGAGGGAGGAGAGACCAGACCGGGAAGTAATAGCGTGTCCCGGCAGGGAAAATGGTGGTTATTCAAGGGTCAGGATTTTGACCCTGATGTCCAGTCCTCCCCAGGAGCTTTTCCTGCATATAATAGGCATTAAGCATGAGAGACATACTAGCTCCTGAAGGAGATGGCTAAAAACTGAGGAAGAACAGAAGTCCTTTCTGACGGACGAGGTGGTGCACTTCTGTAATCCCAGCACTTGGAAGGTTGAAAGAGGATTCTGAGTTCGAGGCCAACCTGAGACACTGTCTCAAAAACCAAAAATATATTTCTCCAAGGTGTCTGCACCTACAGATCGCCCCTCGTGCAGTTCCCCTTTACTCCGGGCCTGTGGTCCAATAATCCACGACACCCTAGAGCTGCTTGGCGTTCCCGAATGCTCTTATAGCCAATCTGCCACCCGACTTCCGGCTCTAGTCTCTGAGGCTCCGGGTAGAGAGGGGCGCGACTGGGGCGGAGCTGCAGGTGCACACGATTCCCGGGTTGCTTTTTGGGGGCGGGCTCAGCGGCGGAAGTTGCGCCGCTGGGAGATCTCCTTCCGCTCTGAGGAGTTGCCTGGGCCTCGGAGCGGCACTGCAGCTGAGACCGGAGGAGTGGGGGCCGTGGTGACATGAAGCAGGTGGGTCCTGCTGCGGTCCCTGGGGTCAGGCGATGGTATGAGAGCTGTCCCAAGACAACCGAATCTGCTTCCCTGCCCGGTGTCCGTCTTTGGTTCGGTCCGACCTTCCCACGCCTCTCACGCTCCGGGTTCCGCCCCCTTCCTCTCTGCTCGCTGCTGCTGCGCGCGGGGTTGGGGAGTGGGTGTTTCGTCCTCACCCATCCTAGGGGGCCTGGGAGGCATCTGTGTTCGCTTTCCTAAGCATTCCTCTTTAGCAAGGGGAGAGGCGAGGGGTTGGTATCTGAGTATTATGGGGCGACGGTTGGGTGTTGAAGGGGTCAGAATCAGAAGGAGAAAACATACTTTTCAATAGTCTGCATGTCTGCCATCCTCTGTTTTTCTCCAATTTCGGTTGGACACATCCACGAATAACTTCCTAGTGATGTCAGAAAGGTCCTTTAAACTTTTCTTGATTGCTCAGAAGTGTCTATTACCATTGGCTCTTTCCTGATATGCTCCCACTCTTTGACTCTCCTGGATTTCCTGATTTTTTTTTCTTCCTACCTCTCTGACAAGAGATCAGAAGTGCTGCTTTACATTATCTCTGGCCCAGCCCTCCTGTCTGTGCACTGGTCTTGGATGTCCTCATCCACTGTTGTAGCTTCAGGTCCACCTTCACCCATTATCCAGATTGACGATGCCAGCACATCCCTTTCCAGGATCTCCAAATGCCGGTCTGTCAAGCTGCCTTTAGATACTTCCACTTCAGATGGCGCTTGCATCTTTCAAACACGAGTGACCTTTTCTCTGTAAATTCATTCTTCTACTTTTGTCGTATCCCAAAGAAAAACTCCGGAATTGCCTTACATCCTTTACCCTCAGTTTGCTCAGAGGTGTCAGTCAGTACAGCTGATTTCCTGAGCCTTCTCTGTTACCACTGTTGTTGACAATTTCTCATCAGTCCCATTAGCTTGTGGTCCTAACTGCTTGTAGCCCAGTCTCCAAACACTAGCTCTTGCAAATTTTAGATCACAAGTCTGATTGTGTCATTTCCTTCCCTATGGCCCTTTGCTTGCTTCCCATTGCCTGTGGGGTAAGACTGAACCCCTAGGACAATTTAGGGGGGTGTTCTATGATCATGTTGACCACTGTAAATCTCAACAATATGGTTCTGTAGGATGCGCCTCATTCACAAAGGGTTCTGCTTGCCTCCATGCCATAACACACGTTGCTACCTCTCTCCTCTCTGATTTGCTGGGCTTCCTTCTACATTGTCCTTCAGTGCTCTGCTTAGACAGCATCATCTTCACACCAGCTACCTCCACCCCAAGAGTTGGAGGCCCCTCTTGTGTTCTCTGAACACCCTTAGCATTATGGCTGAGGATATAGACCCCTGCACCAGACTACTTGGGTTCTGCTATTGTTTTGAGACCTTGATGAAGTCAGTACCTCAGTTTGGGAAAATGGAGATACTAATGTGTCTACCTTGTAGAGTTGTGAGGTTAAATGACGTAGTATATGCATAAAACATAAAACCACCAGACCTATGAGTGCCCAGTAAGCCCACACTAATTAACAATACTTATATAGGAACACTATAGTTCACTGGTTATGACTTTTAATTTCACAAAGTGCTTGAGAATGATTGATGTGGCTACTTCTCATTCTGTCCCTTGGTGCTAAATGGAAGTCTTAGACTGGAAAGTTCTGGATTTACTGAGTAAATATGCAGGGGTGAAAAGGACCCAGGCTTTTGTTTGATTTCCAGCACTGCTAAATAAATAAATTTATAAAAGGTGCTGGGAGTGGTGGGTAGGGGGTCAGAGTTAGCTGGAGATGTGGTTCAGTAGTAGAATATTTGCCCAGTGTGCATGAGACCCTGGGCTCCAGTTCTATCACTGAAGAAAACAAAATGCCCGAGCAGATCTGATTCAGTCTGCTCAGGAAGAGAGTGGGTACGTACTACATGGTAAGCATTCATTCTGTCCAGAGGACTATACAGAGAGCTCTGAAAACCCGAGGAGAAAAAGGTAGGATGCTGCTTTTCAAATGTGATGACAATTAGTGAGAGGCTGCAAAGCAGAGGGTGAGTTTAGTAGAGCAGAGGCCTTAGGGGAGTCAGAGAAGGGGCATAGAGACCATAGGGGACTCTCAGAGAAAGGAGACCTGGGTCCTCCTTGTGCAGTGGATCCTCTCCATGATGGGCTGTTAGGAAATGTCTCCTTGACTTAGGTGTAGGAAGGGATGATACCCTGGGGGTGTCTAAAAGGTTGGTGGTTTGGGTCATTTTGAATGTGTTTAGGCCAGGTCCTGCCTTTGACCAATGTCTGGCCTTTGTTGTTGCCTTATTACTTATTTTCAGAATCTTTTGGTTTTGTTTTATTTTTCCGAAACAAGTTTCTCTATATACAGCCCTGGCTGTCCTATGACTGCTCTGTAAACCACGCTGGCCTTGAACTCAGAGATAACTCAGATCACCTGCCTTTGAAGGAGTGAACAGCCACACCCAGCTTTTCTCCCTCCCCCCTTTTTAAAAGATTTTTAAAATTTTGCTTTACATGTATGAGTGTCTTGTTTGCATGTATGTCTGGACACCACATAATGTGTCAGAGGTCAGAAGAGGTGTTGGAGTTAAGGGACAGCTGTGGGTGCTAAGAGCAAACCTGAGTGGAGTCCTCTGCAAGAACGAGTGCTCTTGACCAATGGGCACCCTCCACCTCTGTTGCACCTTTGCCTTGGGGATGCCCATCCCCCCTCCCCACCTGAGGCGGCTTCTTCTAGGTCTCAGGTAGTCCCTCCTCCCTGTGGCTTCCCCCACCTCTTACTGCTTCCTTCTCTGGGAGACATGGGCCCTTGTTCATTCATTTTCCGAAAATACTCATCACATCAGGCCAGCATGGATTTCTCTGTCAGTCTTCCTCATGAGACCTGGTGACCCTGAGAGATAGACTAAGCCTGTGCCTGCCAGACGGCAGCTCTCCTGTGTTCCGCTGTTAGCTGAGCTCTCACACGCCCAGGTCCACTGGAGGACTGCAGGATCTCATGCTATTCCACTGAAAGGGAGTGCTTGATGCCTCTGTTCTACCGATGAAGTCGCTGAGCCCTTGGGGGAGGTTGGTTCAAGATCACTCAGTAGAGATTTAAAGACTCTAATACGCCCCAGGCACTACCTCTGTCCCTGCATCCAAGAGAGCAGCTGGCACTTCAGTGGGACAGAGGACAATGGAGAGCATGGCATTTTGTCAGCTCTGTGTCCCTCTCAAAGTTTTCTGGCTGGAGTGAGGCAAATGTAGGCCTTTGTCTGGTGGGAGCTGGGCCTGGGAGGAGCCTGTTTTTGAGAAAGCTCACAACTATTCAAAACACTGGGCCCTTCCAAACTGACTTTGGGAACTTGACTTCTTCAGCCTCAGTTTTTACCCAATATCGCTAAAGGACGGGTGGAGCCTGACTCACCAGCCCCAGAGGGCCAGAGGTCACAGAGTCACTGAGCTAGGGGCACTCTGGCAGGGCAGGACTGGGGGAAGAGTGATGAGCAAACCTGACATGTGGTTGGGCTTTCCAGTCCCAGTAGTTCATGGTCAGAAACCGAGTCTAGGAAGGAGTGGCTGTTCCTGTGCTAGCCTGGCGCTTCTTCCTACTAGCCCCGAAGGGAAGGGGAAACGAGATCGATCCTCTTTGGCTTTGCAGTCATGTAGCTCAGTGCTGCCGTTTGGCCCTGTTGCCTTAAATGTCCACTTCCCCAGGGCCAGGGAACCTCCCTAGCCCTCTGTGGTTGTGTGGTCACTTGTTCCTAGACTGAGGGCAGGAGTCACCAAACAAGGGTGCCATTCCTGATAAGCTTCCCGAGGCAGAGTCCTCCTGACCATTAGCCAGGTGGACCTTTAATTTGGGCACCGGCGCTCTGTTGCTGTGCCTCTCCCAGGGCCTTGCATTGTGTGTAGTAAATAGTAGGGGGAGCTGTCACTAATTTTTTATTAATTAAATTTATTTATTTATTTGTTTTGGTTTTTCAAGATAGGGTTTCTCTGTGAAACAGCTCTGTGAGTTTGACGCCAGCCTGGTCTACAGAGAGAATTCCAGGACAGCCAGGGTTACACAGAGAAACCCTGTCTTTAGAGAAAAAAAAAAAGGGGGGGGGCTTATCCTTTGATCTCCATTTTACAGAGAAGGAAATGGATGAGACTCAGGGCCTTGGTCAGTGATACGAAGCCCAAAGGAGTAACTTTGGGCTTTTGATTACAGGTCCAGACTTGCTCCCTCTGCAGTTTTAGGCAGACCTCATACATCCATAGAGCAGCTTACTTAATAGATAGCCTGTAGCTTGCCACTGTGAGCCGGGCAGCC